TACATGATTACATGATTACATGATTACATGATTACATGATTACATGATTACATGGTTACATGGTTACATGATTATAGATGATGATGATGATGATAGATGTTGATGATGGTGGTGATGATGATGATAGATGATGGTGTTGATGATGATGATCAAAGATGGGGATGTTGATGATGATAGATGATGATGATGATAGATGATGGTGATGATGAAGATGATGAGGATGTTGATATTGATAATAATAATAATAATAATGATGATGATATTGATGGTCAAAATGGTAGTGAGGATGATGCTAATGATGACGATTTTGTTGATAATAATCGTTACTATCTGTCTTAGATATCGGTAGAAGCGAAGAAGACGATGGTTCTTCACCAGACTCCGCATTAGGTACGTGTACCTCATGCCAATCTGAGCCCACAAACCAAGAAACCATGAGATCAGCGTACTTTGCCTTTGAGTATTAGGACTTCCATGACATGCAGTTCACCCATGACCATTTCTCGAGGTAACACATGCCATCTAGACATAAAACATCTATCCCTGCCCGCTTTTCCAACCTGCCCTTGTCGTGTCCTTTCAAGGCAGACAGCTAGTAAGGAATTACTTTTTTTTTAAAAAAAACATTACGCTCTGAGTGGATTTGGTCTCTTGGCCTGTTTTTAGTTTTTGCAGTTTCCTTTCCTCGGAAAAAAACATGCTCTCCTACTTCTAATTCTTTCTTTTGTATTTGGACGTTATCTCGAGGCAAAATTAGATAAAAATAAAAAKAAAATATATACATATATATTAACATAATTAGAATATTTTACATTTAGCGAGGTACATTTAAGATAGGGCAATTGTTTTCTTTGCAGGAAGAAATTCACAATTAATTAACATGATTTTTAGCAAGAGAGCATAAATTATAAGAGAGGGAAACTTCTTAATAACGCGCGCGCCATGTTAATTCCCGGTTGGGCTATTTTTAGTAACCGGCCGGATGCAGTTTAAAATTAGCCTTACCCTAGTCCCGTGCGTCATCAAATTGCGCGCGGGCGCTCTTTCTATTTCGTCTTTAGTGATCAAAACAATGAACGGAAAGAGCCGTGCATGCCAGTTGAATTTAATCCGCATCCGGYTACTAAAAATAGCCCAACCGGGAATTTACATGGCGCTCGCGTTATTAAGAGGTTTCCCTCTTTTATTTATTTTCTCTTGTTTTTAGTTAGTCAGTAAAGCATGAAAAACGTAGACACTTTCTAAGGTGCACACCGCTGAAAAAATGAACCGTTTCTCATTTTCCTTCCATTTCTTTTTTTTTTTTTTTTTTTTTTTTCCTTTAACCGACAGGCCACTTCAGATAACAGCCCAGTGTGATACACCACTCTTGTAAGTCAGATTCGCAATCCATACGACCTTCAGTTGTTATTTCCCGTCCATTCATTCATTCGTTCACTCTTTTTTTTTAATTCAATGGACTTCTATTCGTTTGTTCTTTCCCTTGTTCTTTTGTTCATACTTTGTTATCATTTCGTGATTTCCTCCTTTCTCTCTTTCTTCGTTCGTGCGTTCGCTTATTCTTACTCACTGTGGGATTTAATTCATGGAAAAGTCCTAAAGATAGGTGTTGGTATCACAGATTGGTGAAAATGTTTCTGAAAGCTTCAGTCAAAACCAATGGTTTTCCGTGGATACCAATCCGAACCAATTGCAAAGCATGCTGGTACTGAATGAGGGTCAAACGTCTAACTTCAAATGAGCCCAGCCTGAAGACAAACAGAGAGAACGCATTAATTTCCACTGTTTTGAATGCATACGGCTTATGCGAGCTTCGACATTTGATATTAGTATAAGATCATGTCAAGGCTGAGCGGGTTTAAGACCCAAAGAAATATGGTCCTTTTCTTTCTCGAGCAACATTAGACCACGTGTCATTTCCTTGAGTGAACTGTATTATCGTAACTATGTCATCCTCTGCTCTGAGCGTATCCTTTTTTGTTTTGTTTTTCTTCGTTTGAATTTAAAATTCAACTGTGTTGGAATAGCATCATCTTATATTCATCTTCATAAAGATGCTGTTTCTGAAATAAACAAAGGAACGACACTAAAGAAAAGAACACGTGGTCTGAGATTTGAAAACACTGCGTTGAAGGTCCCAAGTTTTGGTAGAATTCTTTTCCATTACTGCTGAAATTAGGAGTTGGAAATTAGGAGCCTAACCCTAAGCAAATGAGTCTGGGACAATTAGAAAACAGCGGTGAAAAAGATCTTACTCGCGCGGTGGTTTAATGTATTCCCATCACAGACCACGTGTCATTCCCTTCAAAATAAGATTCTTTGTTTAATTTGTATCCATATTCCTGTGTCTTCTCGTGCGCAACCGTTAAACAAAGAAATGATACTCTAGTGAATGAAACGTGGTCTGAATTGGGTAAAACATTTCACCACGACGATTAAGGTCTAATAGAGCGTTTTCACTCACGTGAGAAGGCAGCCATAAACAATAGAAACTTTCTGCACAGTATTTGCATAAAAAAGAGTTCAATTCCCGGAGGATAGAAAATATATTGTTTTGGTACACCATAATGGCCGCTGTGACGTCACGTGAAAACGCTCTATTCCACGTGTGTTCCCAATCCAGCGCAAGCTTGAGGAGAAGTCGATTCAAACAAAGCTTCTCTGGAAAGTCCTGTAAAAGACCTATTTATTTATTCCCTGTCCAAATTTCCACCACTGTTTCTCTTTTCAGACGAATCAACGCGACCCTTACAGAGACAAAGACCAAGACTCCAAGACATAAGACTGAAAAGCTACTTTCATTCGGTGGACACGGAGTCGTGCAACTCCTGCGACGGCGTCAAAGTTTATTATGTACAAGAATCAAAYGCATAGGAGCCCACAAAGACTTTGTACAGCTGTCTACACTCAATGACAGGCGTTCTCTTCGACTCCCATGAGGACTTGCGGGACAAGTATTTTGAATGAGGACTACGTGACGTGGTCACGTAGTGTAAAGATTGGAGCCACTTTTTATAAAAGAATTAGAAAGATTTAATCCTTGAGTCATACAATTTTACTTGACAAAATTTTGCTTAATAGTCTTCGTTGAATGAAATAGACATTTTGATAAATCATGTGACATCAGCCATTTTGGAAGGCAATCGTAGCTTTGTCCTCCAAATGATATAGCTGTCTAGATTTAATGTTTTAAAGCTCTACAGAACTAAAACGAGCTGTTACTGAGAGATAACGAGATAAGTTAAAAAGCAACTAAGTGTTTTGACTTATCACAAAGCGCGAATTATCGCTAGTTCATTAATTATTCTATAAATAATTTATAAATAGCATTCATCCTTATTCAATTAATCAAGTCGAAATTGGGCAATAGAATAGGGTATTTTGGATATTGTGATATATTGTAATATGCGAATAATCAACAAAAAGTTTTAATTTTTTTTAGAAATTCAGAGTTAAAATTTGGAACGAAAAAGTTGCAAAACTATGCTCAGAATTTTTTGATGACAATGAATATTAGGTAATTCCTCTAGTAGAGAGGAATATTTTTTTGAGCAAAGAAGATACGACAAAATTAAATCCAAGATAGGGTCTGTGCCGACATGCTAAGCTCTAAAAGAGCCAGCTCGTCTGTACTCGTGCGATTTATACGTATATGCCAAACATTATCCAGCAGTTGCGTGCGCAGTTGTGCAAATATGGCCGCGTCGTAGAGGCCATCGTTTAAGGTAGGACAAACCAGCTGCTTGCTCTTTTGTTTGTGCTGTTTCTTGGGGAAGAAAGCTAAAGTATTTTACCTAGCACTGACCAGAGTCGACGCTCTTCCTTTACGTAAAAGTGGCCTCGGAAGAGACTTGTATGCTTGTGCTTGAGTGCTTGCAGTGAACAATGTAAAACGTTTCATATAAAATTATTCTGAATGAAATTGTCTGATGAAATCCTTGTAAATTAAATAATCAAATTTCRATTTTTCACTGCGCAGAGAATCTTCCACTAGACAGATGCAAAATGTTTCCAATTTGAGACCACGTGACATTCCCGTGAAATGCATGTCTCTCTTTGATCATCATTAATTCTTGAGAAGATTAGATTACAGTGCTTCTCAATTACGTGACACGCACGAATGATTTCTTGTCGTGACGAAGTTTTTGTGGTGAACGTCAATCAAGACGTTTCTAAGCAAATCGAAAGGCACCTGCCTTTGAAAAGTTTGTGTTTTTCTACGATGTCATGGTAACACTCTGATTAACATTCACCAAAACCCTTTTTTGTTGCGACGATAAATTGTACGCATTTGGCGCGTCTGATTGGGAAGTACTCTAAAATGGAGAATACTAAAACAAATAATCTTATTCTCAATGGAGTGAAACTTAGTCTAAACAAATAGGACGTTTACATGATAGCGCCATTGACCTCTACTAACTGACTCCCTTGCACACTGTTTTTGTTAAGTTAATTAGCACCAATTGTCTCACTCTTCTCATGAAGAAATACAAAATTAAAAAAAAGACTTAAAATAAAAAAGTAAATTGGCAAAGTATCATGGTAGTGGGAGTCAAATGACGCCTTCATGCAAACCTGTTATTTGTCAATAATGAATTCCTTATGATTTGATTTTAATCAAAAAATATATTTATCATTATATAATATATAAGTAATACAAGCGAGCAAGCCTTTCCTATTCTGTATGATTATAATAGTATCTTCCAAGTTATTTTATATATTTTCCAAGAAAAACATACAGCGATATGCA